AATGAGAAACCTGGTGGGTTTTTGAGCTAATCCATTTTTTTGCACAGTTACAAATAAACGATAACGATCTTATCTGGTGAACGAAAAGCTCACCTTTAATCGTATGATTTGTCTACAGTGTCAGTAATGCGACACACGTATTCTCATTCTTCTTCTTCTTTATAATTAAAAGCAGCACTAATTTGGTTGAAATGCCAGAATGTTGGCATATTTTCAGTTTTGATTTCTATGCATCTGATATTGTCTGACTTGTTTTTATGGCCTCGTTGATTAGAAATGATACCAGAAGGCAAAATAGTGAAATAATTAATATGTGAGATGTCAGAATGGATTGTCAACGTCCATCTCTATGGTCAAACGGTAAAAAAACTGAAGTTTGCATAAGACAAGTTGGACAGTTTGTGTGAACTGAGTAATACTGTTTATACAGTTGAGGGCTTTCATTCTTTAGCGGAGAAACTTATTTAATAACTAGTAATTTGATGAAATAACCAGTGATATCTAAGCAATATACTCGAATAACAAGGTGAATCAAAGTTTTCTAATTGCAGTGAGCCTTATTTTATCTCTTCTTTTGAACGAAATACGTAAGCAATAGGGTTTCACTGAGACTAGCTTTTGATATTATTATTATTATGAATTCCTTCATATCCGCAGTAGGAATAGAGCTTCAAGCTAGAGACTTGAAGTTTCTGTAGCAGTAATTATTTTTACAGGATGGGGTTTTGCTAGCCGCATGCCCAACCTTTCCAGCTATATTTCTGGCTAAGTGAGGTAAAGGAGTGCGTTGGCCAACGACCGAACCCCGGACCATGTGCATGGTAGGTGAGCGTACTAATCGTTATACCACCGACGCATAGCTTTTGATATAGTTATTAAAAAGCATTGGAATGCAAATATATAGTACTTTCCCTATCTTTAATAAGTTTCCTCTTATTTATTGAGACTTAAGAACTCCTCAATTTGAATATCAGCAGAAATTTCATCGCTCAACAGGATATGCATCCAGCTACTCTTCGCCAATTAACTGACATCAAGTCCATTACTCTGTGGCTTATTTTATGTGCACAATGGTGCTTATTTCAAGCGCACGAAGGGTATAGATTATGCGATTTTGTAAGTATTTGGATGAATTTTAAAATTAATCTCGTCACTAGCCAACACAAGTAAGACAACACTGGAAACTGAGTTGCACTGGATAGCTGATTCGTACAAGGTCAGAACTCTTCGCTGTGTCGAGGTGAGGTGGATGCTATTTGAAAAATTTCCTGATGACAGTCTTGTATCACAAGTTAACAAAGTTAGAATTCTCAGGTCTCTGAATCCCACATCAATTAGCTAAATGTTTATTGATCTGGCCTTGTAATCTTAAGGCCGCAGGTTCGATCCCTCTTAGTGTGGTTGATTTGGACCGCTAAAAAGTTCCAAAGTAGGATGAAATAGCTGTTCAACGCCCACCAGTTTTTAGTTGTCTCTATCTGTTCTTGGTTCATGACTAAATGAACATTGGTATTCAGTGTAATTTCACGATACTGATCACACTTTACTTACACAGTGACCACGTGGTTAGATGTTTATTAAATTAATCGCTCGTTTGAAACCGATGTATTTGGTAATAGTTATGAGCAATGACTGATTAACATAAGAGATCTTCACAAGTAAACAATAATGAACACTTGACATGGAAAAGGTTTTAATTTCATTCATCAACTTTTTTGTATAGCGTTGAATAATTAGGAACAATGAAATTTTAAAAAAGACAGGAAGACGAAATCTGCAGTATAAAATGATATCATTCTATTTCACAGGTTCTCATCAGCTGCAGACTACCTGAAATTACAATGGTTATATAGATGATAATAACATACTTTAATGTTTGAGTGGTGGTGGAGAAGAGATACTATAAAATTGACGCATCTAAATGAAAGCATTACAATGTTTTTAGTTTAAGTTTTCATCATCAATTTATACGCTTTTAAAGTTGAAAAGAAGGGGAGGGGTAAGACAGAAAACAGAAAAAATTGATTAACAGAACAGTGTTAGCTTGTAGGTTCACATAGCAAATCAAGAAACAAAAGCGGTTACAGTTTATGAGATTAAGATTTGTTCAGTGAGTTGAGATCACTGAATTAGATGACTAATCAAAATCAAAATTCTGTTACCAAGGGAGTGAGAGGTTAATCACACTCTCTTTCTGTATGCATAAGTCTGGTTTAAATCGTTTGATTGCGATTGCTTCGGCAAATCGTAGTAAATTTGCTGTCCTTTGTCTATTTAATATTTTGAAGGACTTAGAAATCTCTACGAGATGTCCGGTATCAATAATGTGTCTGGTAATTGCACTCTGGGAATATCTGCTTCCTTTCAGGCACAGGTTTTTGGGAATATGTTCAGAAAACCGGATAGAAGCCCTTCTTTCTGTCCTTCCAATGTACTTGCTCCCGCAAGTGCACGTGAATTCATAAACGCAGTTGGAGGTGACATCAGCAGGGTATTTATCCAGTTTTGAGTGGATTAAAGAAGGAGTGGTGCTGTATACTGTTATGAGTTTTGCTGCCGGGAAGCTTCTACCTATTGCACCTTTCAATCTTTTGTGACACTGCATCTCCTTTGTATGGTAGACAGATAAACACTTTTTTCTTTTTTATAGTTGGATGCTTTTCTTTCTCATCTTTTTCTCTGCTGTACTTCTGAATAAATCCCTTAGGGTATCCATTTTCCCTTAGGCATTTCTCGACGAAAACTAATTCTTCTTCGACCCTGTTTGGTGAACATAGCTTCCTGGCTCTGTCATACAAAGTCCTCACTAATCCACGTTTATAGCTTATGGGACAAAAGCTGTTATAGTGAAGATATTGTCCAGTCCAGGTTTCTTTTCTATAGATGGACTTTTCGACCGTGCCTTCGTTTGTTCTTTTTACATTTAGATCCAGGAAATTGAACTCATTATGTTCATATTCCATGGTGAATTTGATATTTGGATGTATCTCATTTAGGCGATCATATAGTGCCGATGCGTGATCCATATCGTTGCAAACAACAAATGTGTCAACAACATATCGGCGATAGTAGGTCGTTCCATTGATAAAAGAGGATGGCTAAAGTCTAAACTTGTTGATATTGTTAACCAATACCACATATCACCAATGGAGAAGCAGAAGATGCTGACCAAAGAGCATAGAACAGCTCTGAAGAAACTATATGAAAACGATGAAATCGTCATGTTTAGACCTGATCAAGGCTCTGGGGTTGTTATAATGAACAAAACTGATTATATACATAAAATGATGACAATTCTAAACGACAAAGAAAAAATCCAAGTAGACAACAAAAAAGATGCCACAACGTTATTTGAAAATGAAGTTAATAAATGTCTGAAGGAACTTCTAGTGAAGAAACTAATCAACAGCGAAACATATAATAAACTGAAGTCAAAAGGTGGACGTCTGTCGTCTATGTACGGTCTACCAAAAATTCATAAAGCAAATGTGCCATTAAGACCAATCCTGTCAATGATTGACTCACCATGCCACAAGCTAGCTCGATGGTTAGCTGATTCTATAGAGCCCATTCGAATTAAATTTGCAACCCACATCCTCAAGGATATTTATCAATTTTCCAAGGAAGTTGACAATATCGACATATCAGACAAACTCATGGTATCGTATGACGTGACCTCCTTGTTTACAAATGTACCACTGATGGAAACAATTGATGTAATTTGTAAACAAACGGATCTACTACCATTACCGGAAACAGAGATGAAGCGACTTCTACTGCTCTGTACAAAAGTTATACAATTCAAATTCAACAATCAACTTTACCGACAAATCGATGGGATCGCGATGGGTTCGCCTCTGGGACCTATCCTGACTGATATCTTCTGCTTATGTATATATGTTTATAAACATGCAAATTGGAATGTAGTGTGAGATGTGACGTAGTCATTCGTGCATTTTTGAGGTTTGTAGTGGAGCATTTTTTTGTAGCTTTTCCAATAATTATAAGTTGGATTGTGTATTGTAGACTCTATGGATGACCAAGTTTAGCCTCAGCCTTAAAATCCCACTATTTATTTCCCTCATTGTTTGGTAATTTAGTGAAAACATCTTTCTTAGGGACAGAATAGGTTATAGGTTTTAAAGCTAACTGACATCTACACCGGTGTAAAAGAGTGTTCATCAGTATTTTATTTTCATCCCCTATAACATCAGCTGTACAACTATGCTGAGTCCTGTTGAATAAGCACTTCACCAAGCATCGCTTATTCCGTAGTAGACAGAAGCGATGAAAATTTAGATATTGCTCTGTCCAAGTAGACTTGGTATAAATTGATCTCTTTATCCGGCCATCTTTTCCCCCATACAGAAGTATGCATAGAAATGCAAGTTGATTGAGATTTTCATCGTTGCATATATGACTTATATGATTTTGTAGAAAATTCAATCTCTTTAGTAGACGACTCTCACCTTCATAATTATTGCATATCAAAATAATGTAATCTACATATCTCCTATAGAAAAGCACTTTAGCAATTAAATCAACGAATGATTAGTAATGAATCAGTGATAGTCATTTTATTGTAATAACACTGCTAACATTCTGTAAATTATGTGATTCACACATATATGTGCTAAAATTATATCTGTTCTCCGGATAATGCATTTTAATATCCGTGTAGCATTTTTCATACATGGAAATAATTCAATTCGAATATCACTAAACCACTTAACCTAACCATCCATTTAAAACACACTGTTTATAAAGGTTCCTTCCATTTTTGCATAAAGTAAAGCGTAGATACTGGTTTGTGTGTTCACATTACTTTATATGTGAAACTGTTTAATACGTCTCCACACGTTGACTCTAGTGTACGAACGATCAGAAAATCTCTATTAAACTAAGGTCTATAATTAGTCCCCAATCAATCGTTAAACACTATTGCCTGAATTGTATTGAAAAAATTCTTCTTTTTTATCAAAAACTTTCTTTATCTACAGATTGAAAATCTTGCTGTCCCCTTAGTTCAATGGGAAAATCCTCATTTCAATTCATTATATCCTGATAAACCAGCAAGTGTTCTCAATGCAGCTGATGGATTCACTTATATCTCTGCATTTACATTAGAATATTTACGAATATTTCGTGCTTACATGCCTGATTGGAATGGTAATTTCAATTGGACAGGAGCACTTGTTACAGATAAAAGTCCAACATTTATAGCAGGTAAGCTGGAATGTTTCGTTACCCTACCGTTTTAATGAATGATTGCATTGGTAACCTTATTCTGTTTTGTATATTGGATTAAACATTTCCTAGCCTACCTTAAGAATTCCTTACAGATGAGCTATTTAGGCACAATTACTACAAAGTTTGTTTTATTGTTAAAGACATATGCGAGTATTGTATAAAGAAGGTAAAAAACAGACAACTACCGATGAATAATAAATTTGTCTTCTCAATTTCTCTTTCGTTTTACAACTGGCAGTGCAGTCAATGGTATTTTAAGATAACATATAGGCCTATTTAGCTATTGCATTAACAAATACTCAGTGATCCCTGCCCTTGAAAATTATTCAAAGAATATAGAGTGCAAGTCATCCTTACACACAGGTGCTGGTTCCTAGAATAACCGAATTTAAAAATGGAGATATGCGTAAAAATTAGGCACCCTGGTAGTTTGTAATTCGTCATTAGTTTATTTATTGAATATATCAAACACAATGAAACAGTATTGTTTCCTGAATGAGAAATCTGAGAACGCAACTTATTGTTTACAGTAAAATCCTCTATAGGAACTACACAACTTCGAAAGTTGATTTTTTATAATCTTCTCCCTATGTCAGTTTAGTTGAAATGAGTGAAATAATGAAGCATAGGGCCATAGTGTCAAGGAAAATCCAAGGCGGCAAGTAAGAAATACAAGTGGAGCTTTGACACCCAATAATTACCCTGATAAATAATTAAGAAATATATAGTAGGACATGCATAACAAACATACGCAAAAAGGAAGCGACGCCAATCATAGAGAATTGAAAATTTCAGAAATGGTTCCATACAAAGAAAAAACTTCTGAAATCTTATCTAGAATTCGTAACACTGTGGGATCAAAATTGGTATTCAAACCCACAGACCCACTTGGAAACAAATTACGTCGGCTAAAGTATCATGTGTAGGCCAATAAGCAGAATAAATTTGTGTAATGTCCCACAATAATTTTGAGGTCCAATACCCTATGCCAATGTAGTAGGCCAGAGGTAGTTAAACCAGTGGAGCACAAACACCCGCTAAAATTTAGATTAGCAGACCCGAATAAGATAAGAAATCTAGAACAAAGTTCAGCTATTACACAACATACAGTCACACTCAACCGTACAAAGGATTGGAAAAAATAAGGAATAATTAGCATCATATCGTTTCAAACTTATTTCTGATAACTATCATAATTTCACTTTGTTTTCAGTTTCAGCAGAAATCAGTAATAATATTGTTACATTACAGTCAGTAGTGTAAATTTAATTTTCCAACAGAAAGCATAGATATATATTTTTCTCACATGATACTACCTACCATTTTAGATAATAATAATAATATTGTTCCTTAGTGCAATCTAATTTGGAATATGAACAAAACATTGCACGTGAGATATTATGCATATTCATATAGTAGAAGTTACTAAATTTCGTTTTGTATGCCTTTTGTCGTAGCTGTGATGTTCTCATTGGATTATAACTGAAAACGACTTTAAAGCTAAGTGACTTTATAGTCAGCCCACTTTCAGTGTTACGTCATAAAACAGTCGTAAAAATACAATCAAAGATATTCACTTTAACAACAGATAAACAAACAAATAAACAAAGAAGTAAATTATTCATAAAGAAAACGGGTTGAATATTTTAAAATTAATTTTCATAAGTTTAACTAGGTTAAGTCAACATGTACTGAAGTTTATCACTCAATATGAGGCTATTAAAACAATTTATACGAATTTCAATCTGCTAAACTAAACACACTGCCTGTCTGCTTAATTTAATTTTGTACTTCCTTTTGAACCATCGTTGCGTCGGTGGTTTAAGACCAGGACACCCACCAACTATTCACACGGTCAGTGTTCGATTCTCGGCCTACGCACTCTTAAACCTCGATTAACTGGTATTAGGCCCAGTAAATGGAGAAGGATAGGTTTCACGTTAGCAACTCTATCCCGTAAAAACACAAAACTGCTACTTAAACTTCAGAGCTCAGATTTGTAGCCTGATACTCCACTTCGAACGCTAAGGGATCAATAGTATAATAATTTCCCGTTAATTAGTTATATTGGACTGAAATGCCTGGTATCTGCTGATATGTCAACCCCAGTAGGGACCCTTCGACGATGTTTGAAGATTAACATGGTTCTGTTCGATGGATGGTGATTAACAGTGAAACATAGTAAACACACCACCGCTCAGTGGGTATGTTATTACATCCAGCTGACGATTCCAAAATAGGATGAAGTACACATTTTGGATTCTGTTGCCAAATGTCATCCACTGAATAAGAAGATATACTGCTTTTTTGTAAGCATTCAGCTCAGTCAGTGATGCTTTACTGTTTTTGATGATGATAAGTACTGCTAAAGAGATCATTGAAAACCAGAAATCACTGGACAGCTGTTCCATCCTACTTTGACACTTTGGAACAGTATGCATCCATGGTCAGACTAGACACCCGGGACTTTCAGGTTACCATTCAGCCACCTGGACTAGGATTCGATGACCGTGTATTCTGACTTTGTTAATCCGTGATATAACGCTACCACCATTCAATTCCATAGATCAGGATTTACTTCACCTTGACATCATGGATGCATAACAGGACGAAAACGCCATCCAGTGTTGCCTGGCTTTAAGTGATCTCTTTAGATGATGTTGGTTCGTAACGAAATGTAACAAATGAAACTAATCCAAATACCCATGAATCTCATGATCTGCATATGTAACGCTTTGTTACCTTGACTGAGAAGATCGACACAAAAAAAGAGATACTAATAGTTAATGGCTACCAAGTAGAAATATATATGCATCATAAACACTAAAGACACTCAACAGAAGATTCACACTGATTTTTCAATAAAACCAAGGTATCTAAAGGAGGAATAGTGAGAAGTTACTGTCTTGTATTGCTAATGTATAGTGTTTCGCGTGTTCAGTAGAAATAATCATAATATCTTCCTTCCTTGCCTCTCAAAGAGTAATAAAAGTCTCAACTAAGACCTTTGTTGTTGTTGTTGCTCCCTTGGGTTCCTAGTGGAACATAGGGCTTCAACTGCTCGTCTCCACTTGCTTCTGATGTACTTTTCACCTGCATCCATGTTAGTCCATACTCTTTCAACTCCTCTTCACACGATCTCCTCCATGTCACCCTTGCACTGACGTCCCACACGCCGCTTCCCTTTCGGGTTCCACTTGAGGGCTTCACGCGCGATGTCACCCAGAGGTCTCCTCAGCGAGTGTCCGATCTATCTCCACTTTCTCCTGCATATTTGTTGGGCGATTGGTTCTTGCTTTGTTTGTTCCCATAGATTCTTGTTGGTGATTCTTTCCGGCCCGGCCATCTGATCTTCAGTATAGAGCGAAGACAGTTGTTAATAAAGGTCTGCAACCTTTTGGAAATATTCTTTGTGACCCGCCCGCCAAGTTTCTCATCCGTATAGAAGAACTGACTTTACGTTTGTATTGAAAATCCGAATTTTGTTGTTGATGCTGAGTGACGAAGATTTCCAGATTGATTTCAGGTTGATAAATGTGTTTCTCGCCTGCCTTCCCGATTCTCGCTCGATTTGACATCCTTGTCCGTTTCTCCTGTAGTTGAGACAATGCTCCCTAGATAAGTGAATGAAGTAACCTCTTTCAAATCCCTCCCGTTGATGGTGATTGACGCTGGATGTTGCTGCTGTTGCTGTGGTTGTTGGTTGGTTATTTTCATAACCTCCGTCTTGTCTATGTTCACCTGGAGTCCTGTCTTCCTGCTGCTTCTTCGACCAGTTTGTCGGTTTTCGCTTGTAAGTCTTCGATTTTGTGTGACATCAAACATAAATCATCCACGCGCGAAATCCAGGTCTTCTAGGTTCTTCACGTCGGTCCAGGATATTCCTGTCTTCTCGTTTCCCACTGTCTGACGCATAATCCAGTCCACCACAATTAGGAATATCATTGGTGATATAAGCACCCTTGTCTGACTCCTGTGTTTACTCCAAACGCCTCGCTGAGTTTTCCGTTGTGGATCACTTGACATGTGCCGTTGTCGTACAGCTGTTGAATAAGGTTGATGAATATTTGGGGTACGCCGTAGTACTCGAGTAGTTTCCAAATTACTTCGCGGTCAACGCTGTCGAAGGCCTTCTCAAAGTCTATAAAGTTGAGGTAGAGGTTTGATTGCCATTCCATGCTTTGTTCTGTGATGATGATGCGTAGAGTTGCAATTTGGTCAGTACATGATTTGCCTTTCCTGAATCCAGCTTGTTCTGGTCGGAGTTCTGTCTCCAGTGCGTCCTTTATTCTCTCCAGGATGATGCGACTCAGGATTTTACTTGGCGTCGATAGGAGCATGATTCCTCGCCAGTTCTTGCAGAGTCCTAAGTCGCCCTTCTTTGGTAGTTTCACGAGGTAACCTTTCCTCCAGTCAGTAGGCACCTTTCCCTCCTTCCAGACCTTTTGCAATAATGGAGTCAGCATGTCTGCTGTCGTCTCCTGGTCCGCTTTCAGTGCTTCAGGGGGTATTCCATCTGGTCCAGCTGCTTTTCCAGCTTTCAGAAGCTTGATTGCATTCAAGACTTCAGCTTTCGTTGGAGGATTGGTGTCAACTTGCAGTTGTGACGTGCTGTTGTTGGTATTTCTGGACGGGTTGCAGGTGGTGGTCGGTTCAAGAGTCCTTTGTTTAATCTGTTTTTCTTCCTTGGTAATTGGGTTCCCTTGGCTGTCTTTTATAGGTTTCGCTTGTGTTGATCTCTTCCCGGATAGAGATTTGGTTATCTGATATAGTGTCCTCAGGTCCCTTTTGCCTGCTGCCTTCTCAGCTTCAGTGGCGAGGTTGTCGTAGAATCGTCTTTTGTCCTTCCTAGCACTCTTCTTCACTTCTTTGTCCAGTGCTGTGTAAGTTGAGCTCATCGTCTCCTTCTCCTGTCCGTCCTTGCATTGAATCATTTTCTCTTTCACCATTCTCCTCTCTTCTATTAATTTCCAAGTGTCCGTTGAGAGCCATTCCTTGTCTTGTCTCTTCTTTCTTCCTAGAACCGTTGAACACGTTTCGTTGAGAATCGCCTTCAGAGACTTCCAATGTTCTTCCACGCATGATTCTTCAGTGATGTCGCGTAGTGTTTCCTGCTTTGCTCTGACAGTTGCAGTGAAAGTGTCTTTTGTGGTTGTGTCCTTCAGTTTTGAGTGTTGAACTTGCATTGTGGCCTATCCCCAGCTATCCTCGAGGCTTTTAGTTTCACCTTGAAAGTCCCTTCTACTAGATAGTGGTCTGAACCCACATCTGCTCCTCTCCTTGACCTTGTGTCCAGTAGGCTCCGTCTCCACTTTCTTGAAATTGAGATGAAGTCTATTTGGTTCTTGGTGTTTCCATCTGGTGAAATCCATGTCGTCTTGTGTATATCCTTGTGTTTGAACACACTACCACCAATCACCAAATCATTGAAGGCGCAGAAGTCTGAGAAGAGTTCACCATTGTCGTTCATTTCACCGAGGGCCTCACGACCCATGGTGAGTTCTCTTCCTGTGTTGTCTCCTCCCAGCTTCGCATTCATGTCGCCCATCAGGATTTTGATATCGCCATTTGGGACGTTGTCCATTATTGCTTGTAGTTGTCTGTAGAACGCCTCCTTCTTCTCTTGTTCTGAGACGTTTGTAGGCGCATAGCATTGAATGACTGTAACTTTCCTTCCTTTTGAGTTGAACCTGGCTGTCATTATCCTGGAGGAGATTGGTTCCCACTGCATGAGAGCTTTGGTTGCTGTTGGTGACATCATGATGGCCACTCCCTCGGTGTGCTCATGGTTGTCCTCTGGGTGGCCGGAATAGATTACTGTCTCTCCAGTAGGTAGTTGGCACCTTCCAGTTCCGTTCCATCTGCTTTCGCAGATTCCCAACACTTCTATTCTGTACCTTCTCATTTCAGCGGCTATCTGGGCAGCCTTTCCAGTTTCGTACATTGTACGAACATTCCAGGTACCCATCCTTACTTTTGCTTTCATCGAAAGAAGGCACATCGGCTGACTGGCTTCCCGAAGGCTTTCACCAGCCTGCGTCATTTCACTTCCCCGATTCCAGCGAAAAGTAAGGCTATTGTTTATGTTTTTAGAATTTTTAATATATTTATTCGTTGAAGTTTCTGTAGCGATTTGGTTGTTTTTCAGGGGTGGAGTTGCTAGCACCACGCCCCAACCCTCCCTCTTTATCCGGCCATGGGACCGGCTAGAAAACTAGCAAGCTAGTAATCTGGCGAGGTTAATACCTTTGTACCAACATCTTATTTTATAATGTGCTGAAGTGTTCCACTATTCATTATGAGGTTGATTATACTGTTGAAATGTAAAGCAGAAAAGAGTACACTTATCAGACTACATGGCACAGTGAAGCAGACAAGGGAGTACATGAAGCCTGAAAACCAAGAAAATGGTATTTAAAAATTGTAGAATTTCTTAATTTTGCCCCTTATTTTTTATAAATTTAAAACGCATTTAGAGAAGATAATTCAAAGAAGTTAGGTAATAAAATAATAGAGAAGATTCGTTGCTCAGATGTATCTTTAAGTGTTCTGTTTGTGAAGCTGAATGGCTTAGTCAAGAAGCTTTCATTGTCTAACTGGATAGCAAATTCCTAGTTGGCTTCAATATGAAATGAGCCTTCAGAACTCTTCGTGAACAAGATAACCTTCTTTAGTGATGAAATTTTCATCTTCTTGTATGTTAACACAAACTAGCAGCAAGAAGATTAAACATACACTCATATAAACAACTACGGACGTTAATGAAAAAATGTAGACATCTTAAATAGAGAAATTATCATTTGTGATAGAGAATTCCTAGAAGTCTGGTAGTTAAAGCAGTCTGTGGTCAACAGATATACTGGTATAGGTCAAACTTACCAACCAAAAATGTCAAGTCAACGAAAGTCTTCAGTGGCAGCTAATCGCAGTCAAGGTCACTAGATGGAAAGGTTATTTTGCCCATGAAATAAACACTAAAAAGGTTTTCTACAAGAAAACAGAGAGCTTCTTAGTTGAATTACACAACTCGGAGAAAACGAGGACAGCGAAAACACTATCAATATATGTAACATATAAAGTATTTCTTTTCATCAAAATTAATACCTTTATATAGATTACGGGTTTTTGTACAGATTTGAGTTGATTGCAGTGTAGATGTCGTCACGAACCAACATCTCTTGAAGACAATCATTGGAAACCAAATGACACTGAGTGACTGTTTCGTCCTAGCATGAGACTTGTCATCACTGTGCGCCCATGATCCTACCAAAGATTAAACCTTAGACATTCAGGTTATGAGGCCAGTTCCATGACTACTCAGTTGTCCATTCACATCATCAAATTTTAATTCGTCGTATCTGGTCGTCTACAGAATGCAGTAGGAGACAATAAATTCCTTAGAGTTCCTTGAAAGTAGAACAGTTACACTATCTTCCATTTTGAAACCAGTTACCGTAGTTATATTTACAGGCGAGCAAATACTTTTCAATCTAGATTATAGGTAAGTCTATTTTTGCATTCACCTTCAAACGATTGCTAATGAAACATGTCATTATCAATACATTGGTTTTAAGACCACGCATCATTAAATTAGTACAAGCTGTTAAAAATACGTCAAACAAGCATTGAAAGTATTTCTATTTTATTTTTGGAATCAAGAATGATTTCAAAACTATTCGTTGGAAAGAATTTTCTAAAGAATTTTTTGTCTTTAAAATAAAAATTTTCTAGAGCCTGCACAAATTTTACTGACATTTGAAACAACTGATGAAGTTTACTTTGTTCTTCGTGAACAACCAAGTTCTCAAATGACAAAGTGTGAAACGAAACCAGAGAACCCGACAAATCCATTATTTAACACAGAAAATTTAAAAACATCTGAACAAGCCTATTGTTTAACAAGCATAGCACGTTTAGTACGAGTGTGTAAAGGTGATCCTGGTGGTCTACCGCATATTAGTGCAAATCGTTTCGCTACTTTGCAAAAGCTGATCTAATCTGCCCTGCTACAAATGAAAACGGTGGATATTTCAGTTATACTCATATATCAAACGCTTATTGGGATAATAGTTCACAGTTGTTGTATGCAACTTTTACGACAGAAAAGTAAGTTGAACTGTTTTCATTTGTTCATTGATAGGTTAACTGCTTTTTGAGATTACAAGTATCTGATTAAAATTTGCCTTTTGTTTATTTACAAATTTCAACATATATAGGCAAATTTAATAACATTAAGCCTATATATGTGTATAAATGTACGGTAGTTTACTGGAATAATGCTTCTAATATCCATTGGTTCTAAAAGGTCATTATGGCGTGTTGTATCCCTTAGATCGGATTATGATGTCAATTTAAAGAAGCATCTCAACAGTTTGTGATTAATTTCAAATGATACTTAATTGTACTTCAGAGTTTCTTTGTACTGCAGATGCTGTCAGTTATGAAAATGAGCTATACTCTTAAAACATTTCGAAACTTCTGGTACTTCAACTGGTTAATACCAGAGGAAACTATTGAATAGTACGCTGCATCACAGCCTTCTAGGTATCTACAGTAATATCATTTAAGGTGGAAATATCTAAAATTCTGCTCAGGATTCTTCATAAAACAGCAAATAACGTGATATTTCAACTTAGAAATTCATATAAAGACAAGGTATTTTGAGTCAAAGACCCTAATGACCCAAATTGGACAAAATAATTTAACCTACAGAATACCTTACAACGAACCAGAAGTCAGTTAGGTTATAAGACCATAAGAATTTAGCTTAGTGTAGAATGTTTGACCTCACGATGACGTATAACTTAGAGGAGAACTCAGCATTCACAATACATGTACTTACACACAATCAAACAGTAAGGTGCAAGAGAGATACACTTCTAAAAAATAATATAGTTAGGTGTCTGGAGACGTTGATCGCTGAATGTTTGTCCATCGAATCTACACCGAACGTGTGCAATAGCAGTGAAGCAACGCCAACACCAGAGACATAGAAGATATCCTAACCAATAAAATAAAAAGATAAGAAATAATCGAACTGTACAAACATTTCAAAGTCATCAGAGCACCTTGGTATGGCCATGAGCAATAACTTATGCTCGAAACCTCATCAGTAAATAAAACCGTATTGCTGTGTAATTTTATCTAATAAGACTATTCCATGATGGAATTATATTCCATCATACTGCTCAAGTTTAATCCTTGTACCAATGGATAATCTATGTGGCATGTGCGTAAAAAACTTAATGTTACTAAGACTATGGCAATAAAATAATCACTTAACAACTAGACTCATCCGTTGTATGCTCAGATCATATTTAGTACAATTCTAAATATTTAGATACAGAATATTGTCGTAATGACATATTTTATTTCAGATGCGCATATCAAACTGAGCGGGCGTATAAAACAAGTCACCTTTAATCTACTGTGTGTTAAATTTTAAAAATCTTCCAAAATTCTATCATATTTTGAATACTACTGAATTTATACTATTCCAAAAACATACTCTAGAACAATATTCACAGAGTATATCCTGATTTGATCCGTTCCGTAAATTCAATGATTAAAAGACTTAACTTCATTAACAGTATTTAACGGTAACACTGCATTGGGATCACTTGTGAATTTATCTCAGTTGTAAAAATATAGTTAACGAATAATAAATTGTAAAACCCCAGAAAAGAACATTTTCTTTAGTGTTATCATAGTAATTTTCAACATCAAGTAGTGAAGATGTTAGAAATGCAGAAAACTTCTGAAAATTAGTCAACTTGTAAAATACTCATACAGATAATAAGAATCTGTTGGCTTAACTGTTGTACTTTGGGAACTGCACAACTGAAGCACCCAACATATTTTCAATGAAACATAATTCTCTCGTATCAGTTAATGTATGCAAATAACCATGGACAACACTTCAGTTTGAAAGATGTATAAATACTTGATAAACGAAATACCGAAAATGCCGGGGAATTTCTACAAGCCTGATGGTAAGAAGAATCTGCAATCATCAGACGCATTGATATTGATCAGGCGTATTGATCAATTAAAAAGGAGTCACAAGGAGCAAAATTCAACAAAATAATCAATAGCAATACAAGAGGTTAGAGGTTGACTTTGTCTCTAGAAACAACCAGACATGTTAAAAATGACCAGGAGACATGGCTGATAAACTTGTGAAAAATTCTAAAAGCTACATTCATATTCAAGTTTGCGGTGGAAATGTTGTTTAGAAAGGCAATGAAAGCTTCGCAATTAAACCGTGCAGTTCAGAGAACACAATTACACCAAATAAGACGCCTACTGATTGACGTGGTAATGACTTAAACACTTTGATGTTTATGCCATATAATTATTCACTTGTATGGGTAACAATAATAAATAACAATATCACAACCTTCACTAAAGACAGTGTTGTAAATTCTCTCCCCGAATTATTTCATTTCTTTATCCCCTGGGATTTTAAAATTTATTCATCATTTAATTATAGATCTGCTCCAACTGGAAGTGCATTGTGCGTCTATGGTATGAATGAATTTAAAGCTGCATTTAGTGGACCTTTGATACGCACTAATGCTGTACAAAATAATATTAAGTCATCGCCAGTGCCAAATTCATTTTCAAACATTGTGAGTTTTAATTTGTTATTTTCTAATTAGAGGATAATAATTGCTGCTTGGTTCTCGCCTTATGAATAATTTGTATATTAGACAGTATTATTATTTTCATCATCATCGTTATTCTTTGGGTTCCAAACGGAATGTGGAGATTCATCAGCACTTTTCACTTCACTCTGTTCTAGAGTTTTTTTTTACCTGTTTCCATGACTGCCTCTAAGCTTTCACTTTCGTCTCACATCATCTCCTTCATATAACCCTCGGACATACACCCACGCCACAACTTCCTTTCATGGTTTCACTCGGGGGCAAGACACAGACTGTCACTCACCAGTCTCCTCGTCCGATTCTTCTCACTTTCTTTCTGGAAACGTTTTGCACGATTGTTTCGTAGTTGGTTTGTAACAATGTTAACCTATTGCTTATCCTTTCCTCCAAGCCATTTGATCTTAAGTATCGTGGCTGCGATGGCAGCTGTTGATAAAAGTCTGCAGCAGCCTGTTGAAAATGCTCTTTGTGACGCAGGTTTCATCTCTCTGAGCAATTTAGAAGCACTGACCTGAGATCAACATCGAAAATCCAAATCCTGTTCATTATGTTGAGTGCAGAAGATTTCTACACTGGTGTCAGTAATGAAGGTTTGTCTTCCTTCCCCTATCCTTCCCTCGATATCCTCATTTTGTGTCTCCCATAGATGACACGACGCTGCCTAGTTACCTAATTGAAATATATAACTTCTTTCGAATTACTCCCGTTGATGGCAATTCATGCACGTTGTTGACTTTGGAATAAATATAGGACTTCAACCAAGTATCTCCATTTCTCTACCATCACTTTCGACCGGCTCCATAACTCACCAGTAGGTATTTTAAGTAAAATGAACAGTATTGCCTATTGTGTTGGAGACGGCGTGTACATACTAAGACTTCTCAGTGAAATGTATCTCTATATTCGATTCACAGTTAAATTTAAATACGGTAGGATATTTCTTTTCTGAGTTCATCGATTGACAGCAAAAGCTGCTAATCGACTTCAGTTAAGGTGTATAACGAAACAGTGTAGAACTAAACTGATTACCTCAAAAGAGAATTTGTTTTTCAGCCTTGTGTATAGTATTACAAATGTATTCTTTACTTAACATCATGATATTACTTTTTTATTCAATTTTCTGTAGTGTTCAAGATTTAATTCAAAAAATAGAACTGATGAAGAAGTGACAATCGGTCGACGTTTATCCCTACGCTTTCCATATCGTTATCTACCAGTTAAACCATTGCATAGTCATGCTTTAATAGCACAGACTGGTGTTAATTGGTTGCATTTACAAGCTTATAATCTGCCTGCATTAACAAATCATTATCAACAAGAAGAACAAGTAACAACAAGCATAATATGGATTGGTACAAAGAAACAGCTAACACAATTCGCTTTATACACATATTATGATATAACAGTATCAGCAAGACAGAATCACCCGACGTCTGGTCAAGATAAACTGCCAACAACATCAACAACAACTGCTACAAACACAGTTATATGTAAATTAAAAGAGATTCATCTTGGAAGACAACTTGAATCATTCATACCTCACATACCCTTTGAACCATTAAATTCAGCTGTAAATAGTCAGTTGCCAACAATGAAATCCCAATCACATTTAGACAGAAATCATTCATCAGGAAGAGTAGGTAGAATTAATTTACATTCAGTTCATTCTTCACAGGGAACTAATGATGATGACAATGATGACGACGGTGAAGATAGTGAAGAAACATTTAAAGTTGACGAAGAAATTCAGCGTATAGAAATAACAGTAAGTAAACTTTGAAACTATAAACTTTTTGAAGCCAATAAATTGCATCATACACTTTAACTCTGGAGAAATCCGTAATAATAAGACTTTGTTCTCTGCCTCACTAGTTTAGACACCTGTTAAGTGATGCCAATAGGCCCACAGTCTGGTCTTTAACAGTGAATTGTAGGTGAAATAAGGGAATTACTGAACCTCAGTACAATATAGTGAAAGTTTTTCCCCTTGAATCCCTTATTTTAAGCATCTAAAGTTATCTTATATGAAAATATTATTAGGTTAACGCCCAGCGTCAAATGTTATTATGTTTAAAGATAGAACTGTTGATTTACGGTCTTAAGATTATAACTGGTGATCCAATTCAAGTAATCAAGTATGAATGTAAGAAACCAATCTATGCATTTTTTTCGTATAGCATGCCCAACTTAGGTTGGTCAAACAAAAACAAAATTTATTATCATTATATCCTTTAATTCCTAGAGGAACCTTGGGCTTCAGCTGCGCACCTCCATTGCCTTCGGTTTTCTGCCAACTTTTTTACCCCGCTCCAAGTCTGCCCGCATGCTTTTATCTCCTCTTCACATGACCTCCTCCAAGTCACCCTTGCACTGACGACCAACTCGCCGCTTCCATTTCGGGTTTCACTCGAGCGATTATCTAGTGATGTCACTTGATGGTTTCCTCAGAGTATGGCCGGCCAATCCATCTCCATTTCTTCCTTCCTATTTGTTTCACAATCGGTTCCTGGTTGGTTCGCTCATCGCCAGATATCCCTGTTGCTGATCTTTTCTGGCCATCTGATCTTGAGTATTGAGAGAAGACAACTGTTAATGAAGGTCTGAAGTTTGTTTGAGATGCTCTTTATGACGCGCAGTGCAAGTCTTTCTCTCCTTATAACAGCAATAACTTCACATTGGAGTTGAAAACCCGGATCTTATATTCCAACAATATTAAAATGTAAATCAGCACATTATTATCAACATTCCTTCATCACACAATAGCCAAGCAAAGCATTTAAAATAGGAATCATCCGGAAACAAAGAAAAATAATAAGTATTAAGTCAACAGAAGATATGCAAATGTTAGAACGATATTGCACAGGTCAGGGGAAAGGAGTAGTAATTGCAAAATTAGTTGAATTATTCAAATAAATTTCAAGATTGTGAATATATTGTTTATGACAAGATTTTCAGACCAGTTATTCTCCTATTCTGTAATAAAAGAATATTACGGTTTTCATTCAACCATCTCTTATTTTAAACCTAAGAAATGAGCTAGGTGAACTACACAATACTAAAATGCAGTGTTTAAGTAGACTCGTCGAAATACGAACTACTTACGTTTATATATGTGTTTACTTTTGACAGCCTAACAAAAAACAATATTGATCAAAGGTTGAGATAACTATTTTTATTGTTTCATATAGTTGTGTACTCTGTGACTCTGACTAATTGTTTATTCTAACATCAGTGTGTCGGCAAATTCGTTTGATGAATAACTAAATAAATAATTTAGTCAAATTTGCATAGCTCTACCTACCAAATAACAAAATAAACGGTGTTTAGTTTCATAAATTATGGCTAAACTTATAGTTACTGAGTTTCACGCTTTAGATTGGTTGATTTCTGAGACAACATTAATAAATTGTTTACTGATAACAAATGACGTGTTGTTAATAGCTTAACTGAGCTAAATAATTTTCTACTTTCTTTTATTATTTTGTACCGTACCATTTCTTTTACCGGTTAAGAAAGTTAAAAGCTAATGAGCAGTATTAAATAAACATTGGGATATCTTTTTTTGTTATACTAAAGACATGACGAGCTGGTCTCTGTCTCTGTGCGTGTCTGTCTATGCCTTGAATACTTCTAACACAACGTTAAAATTCAATAATAAATTACGGTTACTATTTATTCCTTGAGTTCCAATTGGAACATGCGTCTTTCCTTCTGTTCTCCACCACCACTCCTAACCGGCTACACGACTGACCACAAGCTTTCATATCCTCCTCATATGTCGCTCTACGTTTCAATATTAGAGCTACCACCCCCCAACTCGTCGCTTCCGGCTGAAACTGCACTTGAGAGCCTGCCAGACATGTGTGATATCTCTTGAGTATGGGAATATCCAACCCTCCTCGAAATCGTTCCGAGTATTTGTTGATTAATTGATTTATGTCTGGTTCTCTGCCTTCCAGAATTCCTTGTTGTTTATTTATCAAAGAACACGTGTTAAGTCTGGAAGAGAGCATGTCTTCAAAGTACGGCACTTAACTGTACGCAGTTAAACAAATCTTAGGCTAAAAAGCCTGATGAGTTGGGCGTGTGGTTGAGGGTGACATGTAGGAGATCGTGTGAAGAGTAAACCAAAGCTTACAGGGTATTGTGCAGACAGCTAAAGGAGAATATAAAGAACAAAGTGGAGTCAAGATGTTCCACTAGCAAGTCTAGGGAATAATAACAATGTTACATAGTTTAGTTAGTTATTTGTTATTTATTTGCCGGAAAACCACTGAAATCTCATAACTTTACAAATGTTTTATACGCTTGTTTGCTATAATAATAATAATAACTGCTGTCTCGTCCACTATGACTTTCATGACACTTGATTGATACGGTAGCGCATGATTCTAAAATGCACAGTGCCTAGCTAAACATAATAAAACTAATTTTTCGATTTCATTTTTAATACTACTGAATCATTATGCCGTGGTTACTGTTTATAACAGTAAACAATGAGGTAGATGCGAAAATGTCCGTATTAATGTGTTTATTTTAGAGATTTAGCTTATTTTATTTTTACAACAGTATTATAAGAAGCATAGCTGGTTTAAATTAACATCTGCTTCATTGAAGATCAACGCTACAGATAATAAACAACTTTATATAATTGCACTTGAACAAATAAAATGTATGAGTGTGTGTATTTGTGTGATGGAGTAAAATATAAACCAGTTTATTTATTTCATACCATACACACACTTCTAACAGTTGAATTTCGTGTAAAAACATGAAACAGAAAATTTGATTGCTGGATACGATAATCAGGTGCCTCCTATATCAAGTAGCAGAAAAAGTGAAAGTGCAAAACATACTCAACTCTGAGATTGCCAGTGGCTGCTGGTTCGACTTCGGTATCAGTGGGTGTATTTTTCCCACCCAACCTTCCCGCTTTACTGAGCTTACTGCAGGTTTAGCGAGGTTTAGGTTTGAGTCAGCCGAGGGTTGAACCGCGGACTCCATGCATGGTTGACGAGCGTTCTGCCGCTGAACCACCGGTGCACTTTTGAACCATAACCTCAAACTCTTTGCAAAATATTTTATTGGCACACCTATAGGATAAAAAGCATAAGATTAACAAAAATTTAGCTTTTAGAATCCTGCATAAGGTGTCACCTCAACTCCCTAGGTTGGTACGTCTTCGGTTACTAGATATAGCTGAGGCAGTCACCATAAAAAATATTTTATTGTACATTGTGAAACTGTCGACGCAGAAAGAAGAGTTTTAAGGAATTTAAGTGAAACTACAGTCTTTTATATGCATTACATTTAAACGTCTGGAGTGTGCTAATATTTTCACAAGTTATCATAAATTAACTTCGGCAGCAAACTATACCGGACGTAATAAGATAAGAGTATTCCGTGAAACATTACACACACTACAGAAACACTCTGGTTATTGTGAAAGACTAAATGATGAAGGATTCACTGTCTAACTGTGTGTAAATATACTCCTCAGACTGTAATGCGATACTCATCGGGTAAATTTCTTCAGAAATCAAGGTCAGAAGAAATGACCACTGGGAATTCCAATGAAAGTAGTAAAATGTGAAAAATTGTCGGCCATAAATTTACAAACATTAGAATCAAACCACAAGTTTGATTTTGATACGGTTGAAATCATCCAGAAAAGTATTTCAAAAATCATGCAGAAGGACTCATGACAGACACATTTCACACAGAATGATATCCACATTGTCTAAATATGAATAAACAGTTAAGAGTAAAACTGGAGCTGCATCTAAACCCCTCTGTCTTATGAACTGATATAGCTAACCAGAATGTGTCAAATACTTTTCACTACCTAGACACGTAGTGTTTGTGTAATTCTTGCTGATCTCAAATGCATAAATCTGTTCATGTTTTGTATCTTTATTAATCCACTCAAATCGCATAGGAAAGCAGAATCACCTTAAACAAAAGGACTGTGATTGAGTTACCATATAAGCTAAGATTTTGTGCATTCTGGCCAACTAGTGTTTTGAAAAATGCATCAAACAGAGAAATGTCAGTTAAAAGAGATGACATCTTTTTGTTTCTTATTTACAAGAAAATACAAAATTTGTTTTAGAATAGTGAATATAGCATAACAAATGCCTAAATTTTTTCATACTGTCAGCTCCGAGCTTCATTTTGTCATCTATAAGCTCCATTTGTTATTTTAGGCAAAATGTAAAATTCATATCTAACAGTAAGAACTGACGTTCGGTTAGAATATTCTATATTCAAGTTAATTTTTGTCTATATACAAAACCAGGAAATGATATATATTAGAAAAGAATAAATTTAAAGTCGCATAACTAAAATTTCAGAATTGATTTTCTGATATTTCATTCACACTTTCCATAGTGACACAACTGCAAAGTTTGAGAAAAACTTTGAGCTGCAATAAACTTGTATGAAAATTTACTCAGACCAAAGAAATAAAGCTGAATCTATAATATAAAAGTGTTGTAATTCGATGAAATCTATTACTGGAAGATGTGAATACTTGAAAACAATGTGAAATGTGTTCATAAGATTCTCTGGAAGAATCATATCTCAGAGTGTTTCCAATCCTTTTGAAGCTGAAACCTTTATCCATATTCTAATGGATATATCACTAGATACCTACATTTCTTACATCAACTTTATTGTTTACAATGTATACGGGTCTCCTATGGCTACTGGTTATTGCATAAGGAAATGTCTTATGTATAACACTTTGTTTGATATGACCAGATAGAAACCCTTTACATCGAACAGTAGCATTTGTTAGACAAACCGAAGTGATTTAAATGCAGAATGATCGTTTCTGTCCCTTGAAGTCAAGGTTATCATTAGTGTATTCAGGATAAGCAGGCTTAAAGAGCCGAATCACTGCTTGGGGGAACTAGTGTTACATCAAGTACAATTCCTAAACTATCTGAGTTTTGTTTCGTTCTGTGATGACTTTGTATTAATAACACTCCTGTATGAAGTAATTATCGTTATCATTCATTCCCTGTGTTCCAAATGGAACTTAGGGTTTCAAAAGCGCATCTTAATTCCTTTTCTATTGAATATATCTGAGAAATTTACCAGTAGTAAAAGTACCCTTCATTATAGTCAATCAGAAGTTGGTAGTGCAGTAAAAGTTGAGAATATATATATATATATATATATATATATATATATATATATATATACATATATATATAACCCTTAGACTTCAATGTTATTTTCACTAATTTAGGCTGGATAGAATGGTTTTCATAGAAATTGTACTGATTTGTTGTACATCTTACAGATACAGAATGAGAACTGTTTGGTAGCTAAAATATCTCCTAAGACTGATAGTCTAAGTGTGATTAACAAAGCTGATTGCATTAGTATCTGAATTGTAATGATGTGCAAAAGGTGATATTGAAACGAAATGATATATATATATATATATTCCACTAGATAACACAATGGATATTATAGATACATATTTAATTGCACACATAATTATCTGTTCATAGTATATTTTAGTCATGTGCCATAAAATTTACCAGTCAATAAAAATCAGTAGTGTATTTTGCTCTCTGTGAACTGTTTGGTTTTGATTGTGAAGCTTTCATTGTCTTTTTAGATATCGCCTTCATTGCTTACTTTTGACTACATATACTTACGTTCTGTCTACCATGTTAAGTGCTATAATATGGCAAGCAGTTTTGAGGTCAAGAGTACATTGCTAGGTAAGGAAGCGAAGCCAATTAATGAGGTTGTAAAGCCATATCGGTTGAGATCTCTAGGATACATGCTGCGCTTGCCGATATACCACCTTCCTTGGTAAACAATGTTAGCTGACAAAGATTTGGGTTGGAAGACAGTTCAGGGTGTTCGAGCCAAAACCTTGCAGCAATCTATTAAGTCTCCGACAGCTGGTCTGAGCCACATTAGAAGATGCTGACTGTCTGGTTAGGGTCTTCAGGATGCTAAAAAACCAATGTCTGAAGACTATCGGTGACATCGCTCAAAATCATCCTCAGTAGCTGAGATGAATTTACTCTTTCTAGTCTCTCAAATCCATGAAACTCTCATGTTTTTCCATGCTACTACATTTTTGCTCCTTGTAGTTCTTTCTGAATTTCTTCCTTCCCTCTTTACTCCACCTTTGTGCGCGATATGGAGTGTGGCAACTTGAAATTCTGCGCAAACTTGTATATTGAGGTTCAGTTGGTCCGTCAGTTGCCCGCCTACCTAATTGTGAAGTAAGCTTTCAGAATTCTCCATGAACAGTATATATTCCTCATTTCTAGTGACGGATTGATTGTTCCTACAAGTACTCTTCGTCAATTCAGAATCACCACTGTGTCTGTCTGATCTCCAAATAAAAAAATGAACCACTTCTTAAAATTAACAAATACCTGAGTCCGTGAGAGTGGTAAGAAATATAAAAGCTCGTCAAACAACCGACTAACTCAGTCCAATAAATCTTTTAGGACGATTCCAAAAGGTTATAATAATCAGTTACAAAGTGTAGGCAGAATGAAAATATTTCCCTCTTTAAATGATGTTTGTCATTGTAACTCGAAGAATATATCGCCAAAATCTCACCTGAAAACAAGTGAATCGGCTGATTAGCATACACTACTGGTTGACCTGAGCGGTTGTCAAAGTTTCGTTTCAATCAGTAGTATATACGAGCATAATGTTATTCTTGCTGTTCTAATTCCCGCGTATGCTTTGTAGCAGATCATATATCAAATCATCCGGATATTTTTGATTTCTTCTAACAACCCGTGGTGAATTACCACGTCGAACTGTGTTACGCCCCCCCTCTTTGCTCTAGTAACTTAGTTATTCGTTCCTGGGGACACCTACCAGTATCCAAACAGACCATAAGGCCGGCATTCAAGAACCCTGTTCCATAGGCCGTTGGGTACCAGAAAAATAAATCTAGATGCCGAATAATCCAAACATCAGAAACCATTGTGATTCTCTTAAAATAGTGGGAATCCTGAGTGCAAACAAAATATATATTATTGAACACACTTGTTTACATTATCAGCAAAATAAAATATAGCATCAGGATTGAAACATTGAACAGTTTATCACTTTCCTCAGTACTGATATCGTTTCTAATAATCAGCGTATACTTCATTCGACATCATTACTAGAACTCTGATTGAATGGCATACGCCTAAATCTAATTGTAGTGGTTTTGTTTACCATTTTCAAATTTAGATGGGAGGGAGTAAAGAACAGAGGACATAATTCCTTTGTTATTCTGCACTGAATTACATACTCCACGTTAAAAAAGGAAATAAGAAAGGACCTATTTTTATTTCTTGATGATTTGATAAATAATCTCTGGTTACATTTGCAGGAGAAATGAATTGTTGTATACAACTATTGTATGCACGAATTTCATCATCTCAAATGGTTTCATGCACTCGCTTTCGTCTTCAAAACAAAATTTATAAACATGAACAATTTTAAGCAGTGGAAACAGATTAAATCTGCAAACATTAAGTTGGAAGATAAAGACGCAGAGAGAGAGACCAAAAAAAGTTGTTTACAATTAATTATAATCATTATTTGTTTTTTCATTAAAAAAACGCTTTTTTTGTTCGTCTGTTCATCTAAGATTTATGTAACTGAGAGTGGATTTTTTTTATTCAACATTCTAACTGTGCGAATTCCATGCCGTCATGATTGAAATTTGATTAGAACAGAAGTGTGAAAATTCACAGTCCAATTTTTTTCATCGTTGTTAGCTGAAACAAGAAAACAACTGCAAGGTTTAAAGTGAAAAACAAAATCTAATCGTAAATAATAATAAACACCATCTAAGTGTTTCTATTGTTTTTTCAAGATTAGAAAACAAAATTTACTGTTAGTAAAGATTCTAGTATCACTTTATCAGTTATATGTTTCTGTTTCTTTTATTAGCGTGATGATACAACTTTTGTAGATTTAAAAACATTAATCTTATTACTATTCTTACTCACAGATATTCTGTAGTATACCCTATCGTTATCTTGATCTGTTAGGTACTGTAGAAACAGACTTTTCATTAGATTAGTATCAGGCACTATTGAACAATAACTTTATTTACATTTTGTGGGTTTTTGTAAGGATTTCCAATGTAGATTTTGCAACGACCAACATCAATCAGAGACAGTCACTGAAAAACAAGCAGATCTGAACAGTTACTTCGTCTTGATTTGAGACTCTTCAACAGCCCGCATCCACGAATCCACCAGTAACCAACCTCAAGACTTTCAGATTACGAGGTGATGCTCGTTTGCCTTTCATTGAAGACATATAAAGTGAAATTAATTCAAATCCCACAAAATCCATGATCTAAATATCAACTTCCAGCTAATTAGCGAATAAGGATAGATGCTTTGAGGTTGTAATGAGAGATCATGGCTAGTGGGCTGTTCATCGAAGGCATTGGTTGATGGGAGTGCTCTGTCATGAATTGACAGAGTTTAGAATTCCCAATTTAGTGTGTCGGTGGCACAGCGATTAGGATGCTTACCGACCATGCACATGGTCCGGGGTTCCATCACCTACCAACGCACTCCTTTACTTCGCTAAGCCAGAAATAATGCTGGTAAAGAGGAAAGGTTACGCATGAGGCTAGCAACCCCATTTTGTAAAAATAAACACTGCTACAAAAACTTCAAACCACTAGCTTGAAGCCCTATGTTCCACTGGGAACGTGAAGGAAAAAAAAAGAATTCCCAATTCACCGAATTTTGGCCCAAGGTGTGTGTGTGTACTGTCAACAAGCTTGACTGCGTAACCTGAACGTCTCCTGTTTAATCCTTGGTTGGTTTTTGGATGCACGCTGATGAGGAGTCTCAAACTAGGACAAGGCAGCTTCTTGTTTTCCAGTGACTGTTTGTTGTGAAATCTGCGTTGAAATCACTCCATTTTTAAAAAATTCATTTAAACAGTTAATCAGTCATCAGATTTATCTTTTTCTGAATGTAAAACATCTTTATTAGTCAAGTTTCGTTTAGATGGGGGATTTCATCAAGAGCCGACATCAGTTAGGGAACCACTGGGAACTCTGAGAGTACTGTACAGCTGCTTCGTCCTAGTTTGGGACTCTTCAACATTACGCACCCACACGGATTCGAACACAGGGCCCTCTGTTTACAAGGCGAGCTCGTAGACCATTGAGCCACTGGGACCCGATCCAATGGCTAGCCGGTGAATTCTAACTTCTGCCAATCCACGACTTAGCGTGACCATTTTGCATTGTCTTCTTCGATGAGTTACTACCTCATCTTCAACCTGCTGTACCCTACTGGTCACGGCTTCCTCCATCCAATCAAACTAAATCCCTACAAAACCAATACTTGAAAATTAATCTGATGCTCACTAGTGACTGACCCTATTAATTATAGAACTATTTCAGCAAATACTATTTCTTCTTTTTTTAAACAGGCTTCAAACTTCTACATCATGACAAATAGACAATTATTTCGTCTCCCATTGACAAGATGTTCAGAATACAAGACATTTGATGAATGCCTTCAGCTAAAAGATCCACATTGTGGTTGGAATTGGCCTGAAGGTAAATGTTCAAGTGGTTATTTATTCGACTCCAGTATACAAATTAATCGTTTAAGTACATTTTCTCCATCAGTTGATCATAGACAACAAAGTTCTCATGAATGTCCATCAAAAAGTTATTCATTGAATAAAGATAAGGATAATTCATGGACTCCATGGTATACATGTGGTTGGATAAATTCACAACAAATAAATGATCAAATGCCAATAACTAGTAATGAGAATGATGACAAAATAATAATAATCACGTTAATAATAATAGTATTAATATTGATGAAAATACTACTGATCATATTTCAATGAATCAACTTGGCAGTTGTCAGTGTCGTGTATGTATTAGTCATACCAATTGTATTTTCGGTATACAACAAGTGAAAAATTGTACACGTAAGTTTTGTAACTGTATTGATTGATTGCACATCTATGGGTGACAGAACAACTGTTTTCTTATATCATTATTCCTTCCAGTTATCTTGCATAGAATAAAAGTCACAATTTGTAAGTTACACAGATGATCCTGAAAACTTACCCGCTAATCTTTGAGCTAAGTCAAGCTGGGTGCACTGCTGACAAACTCGGCTTCAAACGAGCAAAATCATCATCCGATGTTTGAGATCACTGTGATTTAACTGATGTGTGATCCTGGATGACCTGAGAGATTTCCAATGATTCACATCAACCAATCGGTAGTATATGCTATCATATTTACTTAAGCTTGCTCTCTTGGTTTCCATTTATTGTGTGTATTGGATCACATACTGTGATCTGAATACTTTCACTTTCCAAATAAAATGGTGGTGAATTGTCACTTTGAACTTTGTAGATTGTAAACTGGAAACCTGATTCTACATGTGAACAGTTGACACAAGTACCTAGCCGAAATTCTGGTGGTTTGAAGTGATTCAGTTCTATGAACTTGGTGAAACCGGGTATAGCTCTCATAAGCTCGGCCACAAACAGTCACCTTAGTATTTAGATCACCTGCATATGATTGACTTAAAAAGCGCTAACAGAAGATGAAGTTTATCAGTTAAAAAATACGATCACCTGCGAAATACATTTTGAAGAATCGGGTCACACCTGTAGAATCAGCTTATATGAAATGAGATCCCGAAGTTCAGTTAAAATAATCCAAAAGTAGCAGATTTAACAACACTGAAGTTACATGAAAGCAATAGTAAATATATTTTGATACTCCTATTGGTGAAACAATGAAATTAGTATTGCTATTCTAGGCTAAGTGTAATGACAGCATACTTCAATGTTTCAATCTCTTCAGCATACCTCCTGTGAAAGTTTTGCATAGAATTTGAAGGTGGCTGTAGCGTTCCTTTTACGGTTGTGCTATGATTTATTACTAATTTAGGTGGTCGCTTTTCAACATGACTTATCAAGATTTTGGAATTCTGCTATTTCCAAGACGTTTAAGTATATTTAAATTAATATACACTGTGGTATTTGACGTGTTTACTTGTGAAATATTGAAGTTTGTTTTAAAATATGTATCGCTTCTCTTCATCAGTGATAAACCTGATTGCATAGCAAGCTTTACTAGGACAGATATTGGTCTTCTTCTCACAGTCACACAACTTTTTACGCTGTTTAACATAAACAAATGTAAACATTCATCTTGATGACAGAGTAAAGGGTAGGCAGCTTTAGGTGTATGTTAATGATTCAGCTGGTTACCGCAATCCTCGCCGCTATAAATGCTTCAGCTTTCAGTACTGACAGAAATTTGTTGACAGTGTTCTTCAAGTAGACTTTACGGCCAAGTCACTTAATCCCATCATCTTTATTACCTTTCATTCTATTGTCTATACAAAATAAACTTTCTTTAGGAATATTTCTTCTTGAAACAAGCCTACTTATATTGTAACTGAAAAATATCTTCAGTATAACTATACACTACCAAGAGTTAACAGAATGACAACAACATTTATATCCTTTTATTAAACTTAGAACTAGACAAAAACGGGGAATAGAACTTATCAGTGATCCCAAATGTAGATATGTGTTAATGTATTTGATTTATTTTGTCACAGAGTGATACAACGATATTTACTAAGGGACCTTTTAAACATAATGCTTTTTCTTTGGTTGACAGTATACAGCAATGTCGCCAATTCATTCAAAAGACATATAATTATAACTGAGCTAGTCTTTGGACGCATCTATTCTAGTTTCAGTGTATTTCAATAATCTCCAAGAAACATCTCTTATACCGTCAGCCATTTCTTTTAGACATTAAAGTTCACTTGACAATATGCCCAAAATCAAGGTGTTTCGCGTGTTGGCACTTATCATTGCCTTGCGATCACAGCCTCGAGGATAACGTTTTCCCCTAGGCAATTCAACCCTTAGTCGCTCACCTTTAAACTCAGAGACTTGGCTATTACACTACTTAGACCACTTGTGACACCACACTATGGTGCATTTTATTGTGTTATGAAATAAATAACTTCATGTTTGACAGTACAGAGATGGATTTGTGTAAACACTTTTGTGCCTAATTATATGAAGTTTAATATACAATACTCTAATTCAGGTTTGATCATGAATGACTTCAGTTAGAGAACTACTAAAAACCAGCGATTACTGGAGAGCTATTTCGTCTTGGTTTGGGACTCTTTATCAGCACACACCTATATTTGAACCTTGCTTTATATACTTCAAGTGTTGCATTTATTTCAGCCAAAACAAAAAATTTTTAAAGTTTTCACAATATAGATTTTATTGTTAGCGGATTCGTATAGAATTAGCGAAAATCCTGAAAAAGCCTGACTTCTGTTAAACTCAAGAAATGTAGGTCTTTAACAAAATAATGTGCCGATTAGCAGTTCAAGGTATTTCTTATCCCATTATTCAGGTTACCTTTTTAACTCAGTAACATTTAAGGCAGTAGTAGAAGCCTTTTTCTAACTTTTAGCTATGAGAAATCTTTATTCGGATTCCCCACTAACACTTCTCTAAGAATATGCTTCTACAGTAAGGAATACTTCTACACAATGCTACACTTATGTTTCCCCCTCCATGGTTGCTGTTTACTTTTCTTCGCTATTCACAAGTTACAACACTTGTCTATGAGTTTTAAGGGAGTAACAAATCCACATCTTCCAGTGTTTGAATATCTCACGACTAATGGCGATGAATTCTTTTCCTGGTCACTTTTTTGTTTGCTGAAATTTAACTGGAGAAGGAAACTCGCTATTATTATTATCCCCTTAGGTTCCGAAAAGAAGGTAGGGCTTTAACATTCCATCTCCATTTCACTGTGTTCTCTGCAGTCCCATTTAACTAGTTTCATCATTGTCTATAAGCTATCATCGCCTACACATCACTTTGTCGGACAGTCGACTGGTCGTTTTCCTTTCGGGTTCCACCTGACAGTGTTGTGTTCGCGATGTCACACAAAAGTCTCCTCAACGTGTGTTTAATCAATTTCTATTTCCTCCTACGCATTTTTCGGACAGTAGGTTCTTTATTGCTTTGTTCACAGAATTCCTTGTTGGTTGTTCATCCTTCTCGGTGAGCAAATCTTAAGTAAGGAGCAAAGCCAGATGTTAATAAAGTCCTCAGTAGCCTGATGAACATGCTTTCAATGAAACACCAAGTCTCGAAGAATATAGAGGCGTTGACTTAACATTAGTATTGAATATCTTAATCTTGTTCTTCATGCGGAGTGCGGCAGATTTCCACACTGGTTTCAGATTAAAGATGGTCTGTCTTGTTTCTCAGTTCTGCTCATGACATTCTCATCTATGCCGCCTGTATCCGAAACGACGTAAGGTTAGTAGAACTTTCCCAGATGTCCAGAGAAAGTTTTCAGTCATTCCTTTTGCAGATGTTCTCATATGATTCGATGAATAAAACTTCCTTTATCACTCCGTGTCTCTTCCTTGTTACATTAGATTTTAAGACCGTCACCTTTTCCCATCCTGTTGTCTGGTTGTATGTAACCACATGTAATGCCTTAGCTAAGATTTTTTAAATTCTTTATTTTATTAGGGTCAATCAATCTAGACTTAGCTAGGCTTTGTGTTCCACCAGTCTAACTGACCCCAAATTTTACACTTATATTAGGTTTTGCTCTTTAGAAATGGAATTTTTAATCGTTTTTCGTAGGTGTCACAAAATAATAACTTCAGCAGTATTACCCGCTTTTATCAACCAAAAATCGATTTATTTATTCAAAAGTCACGCGTACAGTGTGGTGTGAATGTAAAAGATTGCACCTCATACCAACGAATGAATGAATGCTTGACCTTGATCACTTTATACATCTAGTTTACGACGACAGTAAGAATTGCGTTTAAGGTGAAATTTAAAACCTAAGGAAAAACATAGAGGTAACCATGGTAATTGTGTTAATTAAAATCACCTCAAGCGGTGACATTGATTATTCAAGGTTATTTGCATATTTTGGAAGTTTGAAGAGTTTGCCATTGCAGTGATAATAAAGAGATTTCGTAATCATCTTCTTCACTTTTCTTTACAGGTTATGACGAGAACTGGTTACCCTGGTCTACATGGAGTGACTGCAACTTAGCAAATAGTATTCAAACAAGAAAAAGACAATGTCGACCAAATGCGATTTGTTCTGGCATAAGTGTTGAGCACCGATCATGCCTAGACGATGCAGTTTGGTTCAAACAGTCTAATACACCACCTAAAGCAGGTAAAAATATTTTTTTATGCCCATTCTAACTATTTTGGTCAACTGCAACTTAGCATACTATCAGAATTCTTACAGAATAAGTTATACATAAAAGCATAAGTTTTAATAAGTCTATTGTACACTGTTTTTTGTCATAAGTTGGTTTTGTTCGTTGTACTACTTTGCAGATTATAAGGATAATTTACAGAAAATCACCTTAAGGGATATTGCAGTTTCCAGTTAAGTAGAGTATTAATGAAGGATGTACTAATGATATACATACAGTGTCTATGGTTGAACTCCATAATCTTCAATTCGGATGGAATCAAGCCTCATATCGCAAATGATGAGTTCATTGGTCAGTCTGCTCAACTTAAGATAAATTGCAATCATTATCGGTGTTATTTGTGGTCATTTATCTTCATGTGGATATTTCTTGTCGTCATACATTTTCTACAGGATTTAACTAAATTCAACATGAAACTACCTATTACTGGTTGGTAAATTATCGACTAGTTAGCGAAAGAGTCTCAAGCGAAGCTAACGACGACTTCGAATACTTCAGTAACAGAAAAATTTTATTTGAAAACACACAGTAAAATTGATGACGCTTAGATCAAAATTGGCTGCTAATAATCGTAGTATATTCCGTCATGGGCTGACATTAGTCAGAGAACCATTGGAAAAACCTGGGACTACTGGACAGCTGTTTCGTCCTAGTTTCGGACTCTTCAGCAGTACGCACCCACCGGGATTCGAACCCAGGACCTTCCGGTTACAAGGCGAGCTCGTAGACCATTAAGCCACTGGGACCCGACCCAATGGCCTTTGAATTCTAACTTCTGCCAATTCACGATATAGCGCGACCGCTAGCCAATGTCTTCGGCGAGTATTTGTCCTCATACCCCACCCGCTGCACCCTACTGGTCACGACTTCCCACTGGAACCCAGGTAACTACCTACCTGAATAGGGCCAGTCGCCAGTGAGCATCTCATTGGTATTCAAGTGTTGGTTTGTAGGGATTTGATTGGTTCTCTAACTAATGTCAGCTCATGATGAAATCCTGAAACCAATCAGTATATATATATACTACTAACTGAAATGAGTAGTCAAACGTCATTCATGTGAAACGTTCTTATTTGTGATCACTAGATTGAAGTGATCTGAACACTCGGAATGTATTCCTTTTTAAAATTATTCATATTTTACATAAATTCAAATACCCATTTATCACTTACTTACCTGATTCGTTTTATTTTTGTTCATTCTTTTACATTTTGTTATTTAGCTAGCTATAATAAACCACGAATTAGTTTCACAGGTCATACAGATGGTTTCACGCTTACACATCTAATACTTGTCGCGATATGTGGACTCTTAACAGGCAGTTTATTAACAATTATATTATTTTGGACGTGTAGGCGTCGTCGACGTCTGTTTGATGAAGATGATCTTATTACACCACCAAGTAAAAGACATATAAGCATTATTCCCTCACACTGTCCAAATCATTTATCTTATGAAGATCAACAGACCTGTTTAACCAATAGTGAACCACTAGGTGTTAGTAAACAGTGGAGTTTAATGGATGAAAAAGAGCCTATCTGGTCTAACAAATCAGATTCAACAATGGTGACAGGTGTAGATCAACGATATGAATTTTTACCACCTAGTCATATGGTACCAACAGTATACAATAAATCCAGCAGGTCAGTTAGTAGAAAGTCAATAAAACTGCGTCATTCAAATTCACCTTGTTATGATATACCAGCAAATATACACCTTCTATGCAGTTCACCTCTACCATCACCAACATCAATGGTAAGCAGTCAGTCAACTGCATCAACTCTATTGAAAGATAAGTTTACATTCGATCCTTCTACAGAACAAAACCCAAATTATCTACAAGATGATAAAAATAATTTAATCAATGTTATTCCTGATAATGTAACTGAAAGTTATAATGAAAATCTAGGAAAATTATACTTAGCTGGTTATTTGTATGCACCAATAGAACCATCACCACATGACAGGTTGACAGCACCAGTTGCCACAACGAAATTCAACTACAAGCTGCCTCAACCTCAAGAATATTCGACTATAATGCCTTCTCGTATTCAAAGAAATACTAATCTTGTTATTCCAAAGCCTATTATAATTCAACCTGCGTATTCATCATATATAAGAGATGAAGATAAGAATAACAGCAACATCATGACAGCAGCAACAACAACAACGACAAAAACTATTAATGGAGAGATTCTTACAATCACAGAAAATCCAGTACACATTGCATAGATTTCTGCCTATCAGTGAAATACATCTCCTACCTATAAGAATTCAAAATTACTGTCTTTAGGTAATAATAAAAATATATTAAAATTAACTATCAAAAATGAATAAATAAAACATATATATATATTTAATTAGTATTTAAAAATCATGCATACATATGTACATGTAAAAATCTAAATTTATTCATTTTGTTCTAACTTATTATAGAAAAATTTATTTGAAATTGTATACAACAAAACATTTTCCAAGTTTTATCTCACCATTTCTGTGTACAATCTTATTTGTTTATCTTATCATACTTTAAAGATATATTCAATACTACTACTAATAATAATATTATTAAAGAAAAAATACTAAAAGTAGAATTTTTCATCTAGTGGAAATTTTGCATTGTGGCAGTAAGTCTTCAATTGAAACCATGTTCCAGATAAATACGGGTGTTGTCCAGTAGAATGCGAGAAACAAAATACATATAGCTGATATGCTACTGTAACGACAGAAGATGAGGGCAACAGATCGTTTATTGAGAAAATCAACAGATATTTATAGACTTTTATGTACATTATTATGGGTTATTGTTAGCAGAGAAATGGCGTCTTCTGATTGGTTGTTTTATCGCTGGAAGTTATTCTGTCATCTCTCTGTGGCCATTTCTTTGAAGGTCAGACCACCCACGCGAAGTCTGCTGTGATTGGTTGTTGAGTTATTCTTTGTTCTTGTTATTTGTCGTGACCAAGATTTGGGACGTAAACATTGACGTAAATTGCTGTCTACCAATTTTGGCTAGCAGGCAGCTCTCAACACATTACTACCTCCAAATTCATCACATTTACTATGAAAAATAAATTGCTTTGTATAAATCTCTGTTGTGGAGTATGATAGTGAAGTAACTAAAGCTCTTAAGGTATTTACTACGGTCAGGCTACCCGGAGTATTAGTCAGCGAACATTCACACATCTCAATTTTTTAGCTTACTGATGACTAGTAGAAGGGGTAGTCTTTCTATTGCTAATGTTGATGAGCGTCTTTCAAAGAATACTAGAAGGAATAAATAATAACAGTATACTTTTAAACAGATTTCCTCCAATCTTTGAGTTCCTAGGGCAACATAGGTCTTCAGACTTGAAGTTTCATAATAAATATGAGCAGTATGTTTACTTAACGGATTATTAAGTAAATGAGGCTCAGATAGAGGGAATCGATCACTTTTGAAAATCTGTAATTAATACTAGTAATAATTGATTTCATATAAACGAGTGAGCAAGAATAGTATGTCATTTTAACAGATAAAATTACAGGTGTCGTATAGTTTTACAATATATGTTATGCATAGGGTCTTAACTTATAATACAGGTTATTTTCTGAAAGATGTACTTTATATGACAGACAGTTTTATGGTTAAGTGTTAGAAGCATAAACAAAGTTAAAACTAGTTTCCATGAGTTGGTTCATGTGTGGACTTGATGCCTGAATTAAAACCACGGTACTCACTATTCTTCAACCCTATTCACTGGGGCGGGGGGGGGGGGTAGTTACATGAAGAGAAAGAACACAAATAAGCTGCTTGAATATTATGTAGATGAATAAAATACGCATGATTAAAACAGAGTTTATAGAGGGTGATTTCATAATATGTAACATGTGTCTAGTCCTTGGTGTTTCTGTTAACTGAATTCAATCAATGAAGTTTACGATACGGTCACCAAGCTAAGTGGCTCATCATTTCCCTGAGCTCTGGACTTACGTTTGATGGTTGGAAGTAGTTAGTGAGAGATCGTGTACCTAGACTTTGTCCTTGTCGGCAGTCATCAGCAAGGTATATTTGCAGCCATGGATGGAACTGTTTCCTCCCTGAAATTCGAACCTGCATTCTAACGGATACTTCTCTGTTCTAATTTCATAGCATCTACGTTCACCTATGTTATTTCATTGAAAGAATTAGCAGAACCGACATGAAACGGCTGTTCCACAACCTTTCTAGGACAACTATTTTGTTATTAATAGTGCACTTGTCGAGTCTGAATGCTTATCTAATTTCAGGTTGGCTACGTATTGTGCAGGAAAACACCTCCCTTCTCACCTTATTGTATTATGATTAGTTGTAAATGCAATCCTTGACCCTGAGTCTTCGTTCTTATTAGTACACGTCACTTGTGTGATCACCCTGCTAACGTGCTCTTCGCTCTCTGTTTCAGATCATCGCTTGAAGACTGGAACTACAATTTTGTTAACAACATATCTTTTCAAGTTTACACTTTCGTTTCTTAGTACAACGTTGTTCTTCTTTGACCATATACAGCGTTAGCACATAGTAGAATGTGAAGACGTGGATGTACTACAGTATCATAATAAGTGCACCATATTCTCACTACTTTGTACCATGAGCTGCCACAAAACTTAGACTGTTATTTTATTTATTTTCCTATTTTAAATTCGGTAGTATTCCCAGTACAGTAATGAAATTAACAAAATAGACATTTTTTGCCCTTCCCTAGATTACTATTTGCCAACACTGTTTACCCTTCAGAATTACTGACTGTTAAATCCACCTGTTCCCTCTGCTTTTTCAGCATTCATTTATTTTTTTCTCTACAACGTCTCTATCACTTGCACTACATAATGTTGTATCATTTTAGCTTTATAGTTATCTTCTGGTCTCACGATATCTGACAATATGTGGTTCAGCAGTATTTGAGATGTTTAGAACCGCAAATTTACTTGTGGAGCTAGTAGGCCTATTGTAGTCAGATATGATCTAGTGTAGTAATTTATTGTAATCGTAGTATTAGTATTTCGAGATGACCGAATTACAAGAATCCAAACAAAACACAGAGAGGGCGGAATTCAGGAATTTGTATTTAGCAGAATTCTAAAGCAATTCATATATGAAACATATTAGCAATCAACAGTAAGTACTTAAACAATACAGAGATAGAAATTGTCAATCACCACATCTAGCTTAAATACTGATTAGTGGTCCTGTTTCAGCTGATTATCTTTGAAGCTTTTTCAGTACAAGAAGAATTACTAGTGACTTTTTGGATTTTTCAGTGTAACAAATGCAAGGTCGACGGCAAGATTCTAATGTCCCCTATCCATCAATGGTTCAGAAATAGAAATATTTATATCCGTCCAGATGAGTACATACGCCAGAATCAGTTTCATGTCTCTGTGAATCTCGAAATCAAAGCTTTAAAACTTTTCTTGGACCCTGTTAGATACAATTATCCACCGTAAATAAAGACTCAGTTTCATCTTAAAATACAATTTATGAACATTTTAATGAGTTTTTGATGCCCCTTTATCATAGCTCATTGCTCTGGGTCATTCAGTAGCCTAGGCGTTGTTCCTTAACTGTGTCGACTGCAAGAAATAGACAAAGTTACTATTCGACCAGGTGATCAGAAGAGCGGTGCATTTATTGGCAAAGATAAACTGTTTCGATCTAAACAGATGGGTGCAGCAGGAGAGATAAGATGATTAAATTAGCATTGAATAGATGGAAGTGATGTTTACCGTCTACATTGTATCTGAGTGCAAATAGTGTTCATCAAGTCTGTATTATTATCTATAACAAAAATAGGTTAACGGTAAACACTTCTCAAAGTTAGAAGGCCGCATATTTCATCATTTAATATTGGGTCCTGAACTCCACTATTCAAGTCCATTAGTTACGCTGAAGGTAAATGGTTAAACGTCTTTGATATTTGGCATGGTGTCGTGTTAATTTTGGTTATCCACATAGGGTAGCTGGTTAGTGTAGCACGCATCTCTTCTCTGTAGTATCGATACCGAAATATACTGCGTACTTTGAGCAATCTAATTGGGCTTACTGAATTTCTCTGGTGAACATCGGCGTGCGCATTGGGCGGTAAGTATAAAATATGCGCACTATCAAATCGCCGTTTATTGTGTGCTTGTCGAAACCGCCGTTCCTTAGTGAGAAAATAACCTACTTGCACTTTATTTCAGCCGGTTTGTCCCATTTTGTACTAGTTTACTTCATATATCTTCACTTCTTTTTAAACCGCTGTTTTCATGTGTGACCAGACAAAAATGTCTCAGACATTTGATATAATAATATGCATAACAGCTTCTGCCATTTTGGTCTGATAGTGCCGAAACTCGGTTTCTGAACGCTGAGTTTGATTTCCTCGAGCATATGATAATTAGTCCACGTCCATAGTTGCTGGCAGTTACACGTGCCGTGCCATGGAAATCAAAAAAGCGCGTTTCTTCATACACGTAAATCCCAGAGGCAAGCAATCCTGAAAAGAAACAATCTTTTGGTTCACCAACATCTTGACAGACTTCTCAGTGCCGAGTCAGGCAATAGTTCTGTTGCACAGACGCTTTTAGGAATTCGCTAAATCATAGTTTAGCTCACATGCGAAGAGGAACTCTTTAGATAATTGCTATGGCCTCAGCCTCTATAGCCGGTGCGAACTGTGCAGGTGATGCAACAGTCAGTCTCCACCCACAGGTTAGCTGCACAGGCTGGCAGAATTCTTGGATTATGACAACTACAGGTTGTAGAAAAATGGTCGGTCGGTACTAAATAATGTGGTCTTGGCTTACAAGTTGCAAACATGTAACTGCATTAAACGAATTCTTGGATCGAGGATAACCAAAGCCGACGTCTGAACCCTTCCCACTGTAGCGTCTCACGTGGTCGTTTGGAATCTAAATCATATGGAGCCAAAATCTAGACATGGTACTAGTGTGGTAATTCATATAGCCAGGTTGAAAAAGTCACGGGAAACCATGTAGTTTCAGTGATACATCATAACTGCGGGAAAATACCACACCGTGGATGTTGGCGGAAATCGGCATCCTCCTTTTCAGGCCACAAAAGGATAATCCACAGCAAACTCCAAAGGATATATTTGCCCTAATGCAGGTTTACTGAAACCTACTCGTGTGAATTTTGTCCTTGGCAACATCACGAGAATGACCGTAGGCGTGTAACGAACCAATCAGCATAGCCCACTTGTGTCTGCCGT